TAAGTCCTTACAAAGCAGATTTAGTAAATGCGAAGAGCAACCATAAGTTATAACTTCAGAGTTCGTCCGTTCTTCTAACGTTTTCCTCATTGCGGTTATATTAGCGGAATTGTCCGTTACAAAAGATCGCACTTGACACTGAAATTTTGTTTGGCACGAGGAAATTAAATCGCACACCAGATCAGTAAGGTATGTAGAAGTATGAGGCTTTCCAGAAGTATCAATGGTTTCATAGAGAAGCGCTCGTCCATCTTCCGTTGTTCCGTTGCTCGTTGTGAATGTTTGACCATCCGTCAATGGACATGTTAACTCTTTTCCCCGAAAGAGATGAAAAACATGCCTCTTTTTCTTCAGTATAAATCTCATCCAAAAGGCTCGATGCGACCGTTTTTCGAGAAGGAGGACTGTATCCAGGTCTCAATAGATGAATGGCTTTCTTGACTTCCGAGTTCTCGATACATATAAAACTTGAGTTTGTGGCAAATATGGCCTGAGCTATTTGTTTGTCAATAACATGTTTTTCCCCTGTTGAAGCTCGCCTAACGAAATTGGACATGGAGGATTGGCTTTCACGTTTCTTTCTCTTAGAAGCCGACTCGGTAGTTGTTTGCGTGTAGGATGATGGATATTCTGGAGGTGAGTTGGAGCTTGTCGAGGGAAATGTAAAGGAGGAAGAAGCACTCCCAGTCTAAAAAAAGTTGGGCGGAAGATCGATGTTTGCATTTGTTGTTGTGCCTTGTTTGTTTTGTTGCCTTTTACAAACGCCATGGTGTGCCTTCAGTCTTTGTACGATGTCTTGAATCTTTCTTATACTGTTTGCAAGTTGCTCTGCACCCTGACTTATTAGAAGAGGTGGTTTTGATGTAAATCTGCCAAATACTGTCTTCTTTTCTTCCAGCCATTGCGTTCTGTTCAAACTGACTTATTATTATGACACAAACACAAAAAATTTACACACTTTTCAACATTAGCCTCTCTTGAAATTTTGTGTCGAAATGAATAAGACCGAAGAAGGCGACGGCATTTATAGAATACACCGGGCAACGTGCGAAAACGAGTCGCGGGCCGTTGCGACAAGAATTTTCCGTTGAAAATGCGTTCGGAAAAGTATTGAATCGGTTCAACTTAGCTTGAATCTTTTCGGCAACAATTGCAATGATTTTAAAACAGCTAATTAAGCGGATTTATCAATTGATTTAATAAAAATAAAAAAAATCATGATTTTTTTACTAAAAATCAATTTTTGCCCAACACTGGCGCAAAGTCCTGCCATTAGGGCCCCACTTGATTGCACCGATTTCCAGAAACTATGGGGCGCACAAATGGACCCCCGTCTGCTCCAGTACATCAACAACTACCTGTTCGGGCAGGGCGAGCAGAAGCTGCTCACAGTGGATCTGGAGCGGTTCGCCGAACTGTTCGTGTTTTGCACCCGAGGCACAGTCGACGAAAAGGTGAAAGTCCTCCTCACCTCACTAGGCAAGTCTGAGGACGAGTCGGAGGACATCCCGTACAACTTGGTGAAGGAAGTGAGTTGTTTCGCTTCCACTCAAGACCCCATTGGGTTGAAGCCGTCAGGCCTTGTTTCAGTATGTGGAAAGCATTGTGAGCTCTTACATGAAGATACAGAGAGTGAGCAATTCGAAGCAATACAAAAGCTGGTCGAGCCGGGGGTGCACCGCGCACACGCAAAACTCCCAAAGGCTGGCCGAGAGTCTCACTAAGGACTTGTGCGGTGAGTTTCCATCTGTCGGAGTGTTGCGAGTTTCAACGCCATTATTCTAGGCGAAAGCCCCCTTTCAAGGAAACTGCTAGAGTCTTGGCTGCAAGGCAGCACCATTCTGGGGCAGCTGCTTCTCTTTGTTTTCATGCATCTGTACAACATCTCCCACAAGGTAACACACCTATAGCTCACGGAACCTTTGCGAAGCAAGAAACTCTTGATCCATCTAGGACAAAGCCGCATCGATAATCAGTCAAGAAGGGGATCAGGGCAGCGGGGAGAGCAACGACGGGGTGAGAGAGCGCTCATTGGTTCCATTCTGTAGAGGCCTGGACCTCATCCCGTCCTACCCGAGCATTTTGGACCTGAACCAGATCGTGTTTATCAACGCCAACCTGCCTCAACAGTACCAGCTGGAGTGGCGGTTTCTGTTCAGTTCCGAAATCCATGGAGAATCGTTTTCCACCTTAATCGGTAAAATATTTAGCCTGAACTTACAATGTTGATTGAGGGCTTGTGGACGTAGGGCGCATAGTGAATCAGGGCCCTTCAGTGCTAGTGCTAGAGGATCGCAGTGGCTACGTTTTTGGGGGCTTCGCCCCTGCCAACTGGGCACTGGGGCCCAATTTCTTCGGCGACGACAGCAGCTTCTTGTTCACGCTGTCGCCCCGGATGCGAGTCTACATGTCTACCGGCTACAACCAGCACTTCCAGTACCTCAACTTGCATCAGCAAACCTTGCCCAATGGCTTGGTAAGTTCTCAGCAAGTTTCAGACCGCTCTAATGGCTCTTTTATAGGCCATGGGCGGCCAGCACATGTTCTGCGGCTTGTGGGTTGACGCACGGTATGGGGAAGGCCACTCGAGCGAGTCCTGCACGACTTATGCAGCCTACCAACAGCTCTCCTGCTCTAAGGAGTTCAAGTTCAGGCACATGGAAGTGTGGGGATTGGGGCAGCCGCCCCCAACCCCGCAGGAGAAAGGGGAGCGTGTAACCGGAAAGGTACTAACCTAAAGGGGCCTAAGCCAGTCGGTGGGTATTAATGTGGATGTTACAGGGCGGAAGCGTGTTGGACGGTAACGCCGAAAGCAAAGCAATGCTGAAGATGGCGGGCAAGACAATGCACAGTGATGGGCTGCGAGAGCCCCCCAACACGTAGGGAGGCCCACCTTTCGCAAAGAGATGGAAACTACGTACCACTTGGTAACTGCAAATTCCCGACACGACCAGGTCCCCTACCACTGTGACCCATTTCAACCAATACTCTCCAGTTGGGGCCCACTGCACTACACTACACTTTCAGCATAGAACAAGACTTAACTAATTGCATATAACAAGACTTGTAATGACTAATCAGGACTAATGTCTTTATTTATGTAACTGACTTTCAGTTCAAGTTTTCAAATGTTCGGCGGTAATGTGGCAACGCCGCTGGAGGCCTGCAAGATTTCAAAAAAGTTTTGTGAGTGCGAGAATTCTGTTTTCAACTATAAAGTTACTGTGGACCTTTGTAACCCCCGAAATTTTTCTACCTGCATTGTTGTCTTCTTTTACATCTTGCATCATTCTTAATTATTGGACGTTTCATAAAGGAACGCGCCGAAAGTGATTGTTAATAAATCCGCTATTCATTTGATAATTGTGTTGGATTCTGAAATTTCCTCCCACTGTTAAACCAAAAGTTTGACTTCAAAACTCCATTGCATTATTATTAACTTTGATTATAAAGCTTTGGGAATGCGCGAACGTTGCCAAATGGTCAATTCCCCCCACCAGATTTCAAATGTCATTCATTTCAAAAACGTCAAGGCAAAATGTTCCCGCGCTTAATTTATAGGTTATTAGGGTCTTGTGTCAGTTAAGCCACAATCATTTTGTTATTCAGTTCCAGTAAGCATTCCGATCAGTTTTGTTGATTTTTTTCGCGAGCTGTTTATACTTGGACCGTGTCAACATACCTTTGAAACACTATGTCGGAAGACGTTTCATGTCAGTCTCCGCAGAACCGTGTGTTGAATTATTCGATTGTCAGTAGCGATGAGGAGGAAAACCGTCTGGTTTTAAAGCTGAAAGTTTCTGAAAGACACAAAGTGCCCGTGGTCGTGCTGCAGAGACTAGAGAACGTTGGTCAGTATCAGGTGAGCCTGAGAACTTCCAGGAGGCAACGTAAAGTGAAACAGTTTGAGGAGTACGAACTTGACATGGCTGCGGTCACAAACGTGAATACTGTGAGCCCTAGAAAGCGACTGAGGCCCAGAAAGCCCGAGTCTGAAATGGGCAGTCCGCCAAAAGTGCGACGCTCCCTTCGGACATCCAAGAAAATTGGTAAGTTCTGTAATTAAGTTTAGGGAAAATATGGGATATTAAAACCCTGGTCCAGTAAGGATATCCTGAAGAAAATAACCGAAAAACAGTTAGTGAAATTGCTGTGTTTTGTTAGGCATTTGATTAATCGAACTTTTCCAAACAATGACTAAGCCAGATTATCAGAACGAAAGAAACATCTGGCTAACATCATTAAAACATGAGTCAATTTAGGCCATCTTTTCTGTCCTTCGCCCTTTATCGAAAATCGTTCTGCCCCTGAGTGAGGTAGCATTAATTTATCGGTAGATCGTTAAGGAACTGATTAGAGGCCACTTAATCTTCAGAGATTAACAAAATTGCCCAATAAATAAATCATTAGTAGTCACCGCTTTAAGTACCCAACATAGAAGAAATAAAACAAACTCATTTTTTACGAGGAAATAAGCCTATTTTAGCACCCAGAAAGAAAACCATGAGTTTCTTTAGAGCTGCAGATTTTTTGACTAACTTTCCAGCTCCCAATGAGTCCTCATTTGCTTTCGCAGGCAATCTGAAATAAACCGGTTTTTCTTGCAGTGAACTTGGACTTCTACATGGATGAGCTATGTGAATCGATAACAGATTCCGTCTCTCTGAAAACCCCCGTTAAAAAATCGACTAGACCAACTCGACAAGCTCGACCACAAAGTCCGATGGATGTCGATGAGAACGATGTGGTTCTTTCTGGAAAAAGAGTATCGCGCACCCCTCAAAGATACTCCAATGCTACGCCGCGATCGGTGCGAGTAAACTTGGACGAATCATTTCGCAGAAGCGTGCTGAAAAGCAGACATATGAGCGAAAATGTGCGCAACACACCGAGGAGAACAGCCAGAACTCCCGCAAAAAAGTCCCACGTACAGAAGCTGTTTTCAGAGGATGAGGAAATTGAGGTGGTGAATAGTCCCAAGAGAAACTTGCGGGCTAAAAGCAACTCGATATCTTCGGACCAGTCGAGTGAGAGCGATGAAAGCCTCTCCAACACAACTCCTAAAAAAACTGGCAGGACGCCGGGAAATCGCAAGCAGAGTGGCTCGACTCCAAAAAGCGTCCAGAAAACCCCGAGCACCAGCAAAGGACGCCTGAAGATGTTGAGGGATGGCACAATAACACCGTCAATGCAGCCAAGAAAGAGCTGCATCCCAGAATGCACCACGCCCTTGATGAAAGCCAGAACTCAGCTACACGTTTCGTATGTGCCGGCGTCGCTGCCTTGCAGGGAAAAGGAATACTTGGACGTTTACAAATTCCTCAGAGGGAAAATTGACGACGGATGTGGAGGGTACGAAGCTTTAGAAGCCATTTAAATGCGAACAGTTTAACGAATTTTGATCCTTCCAGATGCATGTACATTTCGGGGGTGCCTGGCACTGGCAAGACCGCAACAGTCACCTCAGTAATCGACAGCCTGAGCAAAGATAAAACCGTAGGAAAATTCAGTTTTGTGAGCATTAATGGGATGCGGCTGACCGAACCCAAACAGTCCTATGTAGAGGTAGCAATGAATTTCCCTAACTGATTGCCCCCGCTTCTCAACTGAAGACTTTTGTTCCAGATTTGGAAACAGTTGACGGGAAAAACCGTCGCTTGGGCGCAGGCCTGCAGCTTACTGGAAGAGAGATTTACCAAAGTAAAAAAGCTGCACCCAGTTGTGATGTTAGTTGATGAGGTGAGTGTGGATCAGGCGAGTATCTGGGGATTTCAGGACTCTTGAATCTGTTTTAGTTGGACATCCTTTGCACGAAGCGACAAGACGTCGTCTACAACCTACTGGACTGGCCGACGAAATCCAAAGATCCGCTCATCGTCATCACCATCGCCAACACAATGGATTTACCCGAAAGGTGAGATCAACCCAAAAAAAATCAACCCAAAAAAACCATAACAATTGATTTCCTGCTTCAGATTGCTGATGAGTAGAGTCACTAGCCGACTGGGCCTAACTCGACTGACCTTCCAGGCCTACACTCACAAACAGCTAATGGAAATCGTAACGAGAAGACTGACAGGGACTGATAGTTTTGATCGGGATGCCATCCAGCTGGTGGCCCGCAAAGTGGCTTCGGTGTCTGGCGACGCCCGCCGTGCTTTGGATATTTGCAGACGAGCCGCCGAAATCGCGGAACGCGACGGCAACGAGCAACAAGTCAGCATTCAGCAGATCAACGATGCTCTAACGGCTATGATCACTCAGCCTCAAGTGACTGCCATAAAAAGATCGTCGCGACTGCAAAAGTTGCTCCTCCAAGCCATCGTTGCGGAGGTAAACATTCTGGATTTTTCACCGATTGTCCGATGATGGCATGTAACGGGATTTCAGGTTGAAAGAACCGGCGTCGAGGAAACGACATTCGTGGACGTGTTCAAGGTGTTGGCGTCCTGCTGTGCATTGGATGGCTTCAAAATGGTATCAAGCACGATTGCACAGCGCGCCCTTTCCCGATTAGGCGAGTGCAAGCTCGTTATTACCGACCAAAAGTGCAACAACATTTATCAGCGGATCATACTGAACGTTAGTGTGCACGACGTGTATTTTGCCCTGAAGAAGCAATGAGCGGTGGTTGGACTTTTCTTGTTTCTTGGTTCCAGTATGAATTTATTCCTCACTTAAAACCGTAGTTCTTTCACTTATTCATAAGTGCATTTCTGAGGCAAAAGTGGCTTTTATTAATTT